CTACCATGCCTGGCTAATTCTTGTATTTGTAGTAGAGACGGGGTTTTACCACACTGGCCAGGCTGCTCTCGAACTCCTGACCTCAGTGATCCACCCACCTGTGTCTCCCAAAGTGCTGGGATTTCAATCGTGAGCCACTGTGCCTGGCCAAATATTTTCCCTTAAGTCCTTCATCTTTAAATAATCCCATTTCATTTTGATAACTTTAAGATTATCCAACAGAATTCTGAGGGTAAAGGTTAAAACTGCCATCTGTTTATTGACAGCAAGCAGTGTGTTTTGCTCCAAAAATTTGTTCTGCCTTCTTTTGATCTTTCAGTTTTAAAGGTATGGATGGGGATCTTTTTTTTTTTTAAACAGGGTCTCACTGTGTTGCCCGGGCTGGAGTGCAGTGGCTCGATCTCAGCTCATTACAACCTCCACCTCCTGGGTTCAAGTGATCCTCATGGCTCAGCCTCCTGAGTAGCTGGGATTACAAGCATGCACCAACACACCTGGCAAATTTTTGTATTTTTAGTAGAGATGGGGTTTCACCCTGTTGGCTGGGCTCATCTCGAACTCCTGACCTCAAGTGATCTGCCTGCCATGGCCTCCCAAAGCGCTGGGATTATAGGTGTGAGCCATCGCGCCCAACCTAGATGGAGAGTTTAATCGATTCCACATATCAGTTCTGATACTGTCATGCTCACTATCTGCTTCTTCAAAAAGTCTTTGAACCAGTTAAGAATATTATGATTACATCAGTGACCGGTGTGGAGGCTCATGCCTGTAATCCCAGCACTTTGGGAGGCTGAGAGTAGGATCACCTGAAGTCAGGAGTTCAACACCAGCCTGGCAAACATGGTGAAATCCCATCTCTGCTAAAAATGCGAAAATTAGCCAGGCATGTTGTGTGCACCGTGCTACTGGAAGGAGACTGAGGCAGGAGAATCACCTGAACCAGGAGGTAAAGGTGGCAGTGTGCTGAGATCATGTCACTGCACTCCAGCCTGGATGGAGACTCCATCTCAAAAAAAGAAGAATATTATTATTGTATCAGATGCTTTGCTTTGCTGGTGTTATCTTCTGACTCTTGAAAATAGTATAGAAATGTGAAATATGGAAAAAGTATTATTATTATTTGAAACAAAGTCTCACTCTGTTACCCACACTGGAGCGCAGTGGTGATACCTCAGCTTATGGCAACCTCTGCCTCCCAGGTTCAAGCGATTTTCCCACTTTAGCCTCCCAAGTAACTGGGATTCCAGGCATGCACCACCACGCCCAGCTAATTTGTGTATTTTTAGTAGAGACGGGATTTTGCCATGTTGGACAGGCTGGTCTTGAACTTCAGACCTCAAGTGATTCGCCTCTCTCAGTCTGCCCAAGTGCTGGGATTACAGGCATGAACCACTGCACCTGGCCTGGAAAAATGATTTTTTAATTAATTAAGTATATCTTTGTTCAATTTGGAATTTTAGTGAATTAAAATACTCCATAAATAGTCTCAATACAAAACAATTCAGATTTCAGATTTGGGCTAAAACAATAGTATTACACCAACAAAAATGCCAATATTTCCTTTTTTTGTTGTTTTTTGTTTGTTTGTTTGAGACAGAGTCTCACTCTATTGCCAGGCTGGAGTGCAGTGGCATGATCTCGGTTCACTGCAACCTCTGCCTCCCAGGTTCAAGCAATTCTCCCACTTCAGCCTCCCGAGTAACTGGGATTAGGGGCAGGCACCACCACGCCTGGCTAATCTTTGTATTTTAGTAGAGATGGGGTTTCACCATGTTGGCCAGGATGGTCTCGATCTCTTGACCTCATGATCCACCTGCCTCAGCCTCCCAAAGTTCTGGGATTACAGGGATGAGCCACCATGTGAGGCCCAGCAATTCCATATTTGTAGTACAGGCCAGGATCAGTGGCTCATGCCTGTAATCACAGGAATTTGAGAGGCTGTGGTGGAGGGATCACTTGAGGCCAGGAGTTCAAGTTCCGTACTAAAAATACAAAAATTAGATGGGCAAGTTGGCAGGCGCTTGAAATCCCAGCTACTTAGGAGGCTGAAACATGAGAATCACTTGAATCCAAGAGGCAGAGGTTGCAGTGAGCTGGGATGGTGCACCGCACTCCAGCCTGAGTGACAGAGTAAGACTCTGTCTCAAAAAAAAAAAAAGCACAGTGTTCAAGGACACTGGAGACCAAGGTAGAAGGGGTAGGGTGGAACATAAACACAATGCATTCTCGATGAATGCTTCCTGAATAACTGCATGATGTTTTAGACAGTTGTCCCGTCTGCCCTAAGATGGACCTAAAGCTAATGAGTGAGTTTGCGTTCTCTATCGGTGAACTAATTCATGTTCTTTTCTGAGTGCCACTATGTGGCCAAATGGCCATTACTGAGTGAAGACTAGCTATGGGCAGCATTCTGTTAGTTTTTTCTTCTTTCTTAATTTTTCTTTTCCAGAAATGGGTCTCACTATGTTGTCCACACTGGAATGCAGTGGTGTAATCATAGTACACTATAACCTTGAAATCCTGGGCTCAAATAATCCTCCTGCCCCAGAGACAAGCTCTTGCCATGTTGCCTGGACTCGTCTCCAACTCCTGACCTCAAGCGATCCTCCCACCTTGGCCTCCCAGTGTTGGGATTACAAGCATTAGCCACTGTGCCCAGACTTTTATCACATCTTGATGTCAATAAGAACTGGATCATCTCAGAGACCAAAGCTTTCGGAACAAGCCAGTATTTTGGCTATTCTTGGCCCTTTGCATTTTCATATTAATTTACAATTAGCCAGGCATGGTGGCATGGATCTGTAATCCTAGCACTTCGACAGGCTGAGGAGGAGGATCACTTGAGCCCAGGAGTTTGAGGCTGCAGTGAGCTATAATCGCACCACTATACTCCAGCTTAGACAATAGAGCAAGACTGTCTAAAAAAAATTAGAATCAGCTTGTCAGTATTTATTGAGAAATATGTTGACTTTCATCCTCACGGTGGTGGTTTGCTAACAAAAAAAAAGAAAGAAAAAAGAAAAGCAAAGAAAGAAACATGTTGAGATTTTGATAAGGATTACATGCAATCTACAAATCAATTTGGGGAGAACTGATCTTTACAATATTGAGTGTTCCAATCAATGAACATGGTATATTTCTCCAGACTCACACAAATATTAATGAATGCAAATGAAAGCATCAGAATAGTAGGGTCGTTGGTTGAGAGAACACCCATGAGAATGTCGGTCTGGCACTACTTGCCTTCTAGGAGCTGCCTCTGCTCCTTACTTCCCTTTCCTAGGTGGCCAGATTCTCATGTGAACTTGTCCCGTGTTCAAAGCTGATTGATTCAAGGGAAGGCACCTGCCCCAAGCGGATCCTATAAATGTCCTTTTACGGATTTTTGGAACAAAGACTGAAAGAGAGTTGAATCAGGCTCTCTTTGATTGTAAAATATAAAATTTAGGATCTCCCTGTAACCATGCTTCAGGTTAGGTGAACTAGAGGATTATGGGGATTGCAGAGAGAAAAGGAGAAATCTCAAGGAGACATAGAGATAAGAGAGGAGAGTGGTGTTTCACCATGTTGGTCAGGCTGGTCTTGAACTCCCGACCTCAGGTGATCCGCCCACCTTGGCCTCCAAAGTGCTTGGATTACAGGCGTGAGCCACTCCGCCCAGCCCGAGAGTGGTGTTTAAACCTCTGACTCCATATAGTTCTTAAGGCCAGTGAGTTCTGAGAGATAGTCAGAACTATCTTGTTCATCAATTCCAACAGACAGTAAATAAATCTGTCTTTAGGCTTAACCTAGTTTGAGTTGGGTTTCTGTCACTTGCAACAAGAATCCTAACTAACGTAGTTGAGTGGACTTACAAGGTATATCCTTGGAGGCCAGGCACGGTGGCTCACACCTGTAATCCCAGCATTTTGGGTGGCCAAGGCAGGCAAATCACCTGAGGTCGGGAATTCAAGACCAGCCTGATCAACATGGAGAAACCCCGTCTCTACTAAAAATACAAAATTAGCTGGGCATGGTGGCACATGCCTGTAATCCCAGCTACTCAGGAGGCTGAGGCAGGAGAATGGCTTGAACCCAGGAGGCGGAGGTTGCAGTGAGCCGAGACGGCACCACTGCACTCCAGCCTGGGCAATAAGAGCCAAGTCCATCTCAAAAAAACAGGTATATCCTCAAATAGATTTCAGTTGAGCTAGCGTGGGCTTTAAATGGCTTACAGTTTGAATCCACTCCATCCTCTCTGGTGCTCCTAGAAAGAGCCCCCTCCAACACAGGCCAGCCGCTGACAGGCACTCTTTGTTCCTTTTATCTGAAGAAATTTGACTGTCTTGACTTGGGACAGACTGTCAGAGGTGGGCACACGTATCCCCTCTGTCATGAAGGATTTGTTAAATGCAAGCGTTTGTCTAATCATTATGTTTCTCCATGTTGGCCAGGCTGGTCTTGGACCCCCGACCTCAGGTGATCCACCCTCCTCGGCCTCCCAAAGTGCTGGGATTAGACATGAGCCACCTCGCTCGGTTTTTGTTTTGAGACAGAGTTTCGCTCTTGTTGCCCAGGCTGGAGCGCAATGGGGTGATCTCAGCTCACCACAACCTCCGCCTCCTGGGTTCAAACGACTCTCCTGCCTCAGCCTTGGGATTACAGGCACCCGCCACCACACCCAGCTAATTTTTTAGTTTTAGTAGAGTTGGGGTTTCTCCATGTTGGTCAGGCGGCTCTGGAACTTCCAACCTCAGACGATCCACCCACCCCGGCCTCCCAAAGTGCTGGGATTACAGGCGTGAGCCACTGCGCCCGGCCCGGATGCTACATTTTGGTTAGGATTTAATGATCATATCTGTCATCGAGATGACTCACACGATCACTCTAAGGCTATTGTAAGCCTAACTGGCAAGTGCTGCCTATGTCAAGATGTCAAGGGCACCCCAAAATAAGATGCAAACACCAAACGGGGCTTCAAGAGAAATGCTAGATGCTCAGTGAGTTGGCAAATTGTAGCAGCAAAAAAAAAAAAAAAAAAAGAGAAATTCGAGAAATCTTCACCATGACTGCCTTTCTTGATAATGACCACACATCCTATGAGGCAGAAAGTGTTACCGTGTTAGAAAGGTAACGTTCTGAATTTTGAAGTCATTGGAGGTCAGGTGCAGTGGTTCACGCCTAATAGCATTTTTGGAGGCCAAGGTGGGTCGATCACTTGTACCCAGGAATTCCAGACCAGCTGGGCAACATCATGGGGCCCCATCTCTAAAAATATAAATTTTAAAAATTAGCTGGGTGTAGTGGCTCACGCCTGTAGTCCCAGCTACTCGGGAGGCTGAGGTGGAAGGATTGCTCGAGGAGGTCAAGGCTGCAGTGAGCTGTGATTATGCCACTGCACTCCAGCCTAGGCGACAGAGGGAGACCCTGCCATTGGAAAGAAGAGTTTTGAAGAGACTGTGGTACAGGCAAAGGGCAAGCTGTACACATGCAGACAGTGCTCAACTTCACGAACTTGACCTTTGAACAGCCTACTCTTTCAGACGTTTTATACACTCTTTACTCACAGGCCCAACACACCCTTCAAAGGCCACATTTGAACTTTTTTTTTTTTTTTGACAGTTTTTCGCTCTTGTCGTCCAGGCTCGAGTGCAGTGGCATGATCTCGGCTTATCACAACCTCTGCCTCCTGGGTTCAAAAGATTCTCCTGCCTCAGTCTCCCAAGTAGCTGGGATAACAGGTGTGCGCCGCCATGCCCAGCTAATTTTTGTATTTTCAGTAGAGATGGGGTTTCTCCATGTTGGTCAGGCTGGTCTCGAACTCACAACCACAGGTGAACTGCCTGCCTCAGCCTCCCAAAATGCTGGAATTACAGGCGTGAGCCACCGCACCGAGCATTTTTTTTTTTAGACGGAGCCTTGGTCTTTCGCCCAGCCTGGAGCGCAGTGGCGCGATCTCAACTCACTATAACCTCCACCTCCCGGGTTCAAGCAATTCTCCTGCCTCAGCCTCCTGAGTAGCTGAGAGTACAGGCACGCACCACGATTCCCGGCTAATTTTTGTATTTTTTGTAGAGACAGGGTTTCACCACATTGACCAGGCTGGTCTCAAACTCCTGCTCAGGGATTACAGGTGATCCTACCGCCTCGGCCTCCACAGTGCTGCGATTACAGGCATGGGCCACTGCACCCAGCCTCACGTCTGAGCTTTTAGTTCTCAGCTGATGCAGCAGTGATTTCAGACTAACTTCAGCATCATCAGACCTCACAATCATAGGTCACCATTGTCACTGTAGCCATTGGTGTTATTACTTAAATATTTCATTAAATTAGCAAATACAGGCCAGGCACGGAGGCTCACGTCTGTAATCCCAGAACTTTGGGAGGCCGAGGCGGGCAGATCATGAGGTCAGGAGTTCGATCCCAGCCTGACCAACATGGTGAAACCCCGTCTCTACTAAAAATACAAAAATTATCCGGGCGTGGTGGCGTGTGCCTGTAGTCCCAGCTACCCAGGAGGCTGAGGGAGGAGAACTGCTGGAACCCGGGAAGCAGAGGATGCAGTGAGCTGAGATTGCGTCATTGCTCTCCAGCCTGGGGGACAGAGCAAGACTCCATATCAAAAAAAAAAACAAAAACAAAAACATACAAATGAGAGTTCTGTTCAGTGATAAGAAACGTTTCATAGGCTTAGCACAGTTAACACATAATGAGAATGATTAGCTGGGCTAAAATTGATGAATCTTTCACTTTAGTGAGATGTTCCTCAAAGTGGAACTAGTCAGTTGTATACCAAGCCCAAAGCTCATGCTGCTTACTGCACAGCAGCCAGTAAGTAAAGAAACAAGCTGTGGGGCAACGAAGACGACTTTGTTTTGGAGAGCCAGCAAACTGACAAGCTGCCAGGCTAGTGTCCTCAAAACCATCTTGCCAAGGGGGCGGATCACCTGAGGTCAGGAGTTCGAGACCAGCCTGGCCAACATGGTAAAACCCTGTCTCTACTAAAAATACAAAAATTAGCTGGGCATGGTGGTAGATGCCTGTAATCCCAGCTACTCAGGAGGCTGAGACAGGAGAATCACTTGAACCTGGGAGGTGGAGGTTGCAGTGAGCGGAGATTGTGCCACTGCATTCCAGCCTGGCAACTGAGCAAGACTCCAACTCAAAAAACAAACAAACATAAAAACCATCTTGGTCAGTGGTAGTGGCTCATGCCTGTAATCTCAGCACTTTAGGAGGCTGATGCAGCCGTGTTGCCTGAGGTCAGGAGTTCAAGACCAGCCTGGGCAACATGGTGAAACCCCATGTCTACTAAAAACACAAAAATTAGCCAGGTGTCATGGTGCACACCTGTAATCCCAGCTACTCAGGAGACTGAGGCAGGAGAATTGCTGGAACCCGGGAGGCAGAGATCGTGAGCCAAGATCGTGCTACTGCACTCCTGCCTTGGCAACACAGGGAGACTCTATCTGAAAAAAGAAATTATTGGAAAAAAGTACAGATCACGCAAAAAAAGAAAAAGAAGAAAAAAGCTAAAAAGAAAAATAAATAAAAAGTGTTTAAAAAATACAGTTAAACTATAAACTAAATTCTTCCCGTAGTTAGCTTGGCCTACAGGCAGAGAAAAGCAAAAGCGAGGAAGCTAAAAAGTGTCACTGTAGGGAGGTTAGGATGGAGTCAGTCATGCTCGCCCCCTTTTCATTATTACAGTGTGTGTTTACTGGTGAAGAAAAAAGTCAGCATATGTAGGACAATCCAGGACCCTGTTGTCTCTGGGAAAGTACCTTCCTCTGGACAGGGTCTGAGATGACACGTGGCCTGCTCCTGTGGCCCTAAGAAGCAAAACGAAGCCAGTCAATGTTCCTAAGATTCCATGAGGCAGCCTGATCTTGGCCTTTTCTGTTACCCTGACAACTCTGAGAAGGTCCTGGCCACTGAACTTTAGCAACATTGTAAAGGTTTTCAATGTGTTCCAGACTTTCTAAATCAAGGCTGAATTACTTTGTAATTTCAGTATCTCTACCACTATGTATGTCTAGTTGATGATAACGATGATAGATCGGTAGATAGACAGATAGATAAGATGGTATATAGATAAATAGATGATGATAATAGCTTATAGATACATGGATAAATGGATGATAGGTATACAGACAGATGGATAGATGATAGATAAATAGATAATAGCTATGTAGATAGATAGATGATAGATGATAAATGATATGTATATAGATACATGGATAAATGGATGATAGGTATACAGACAGATGGATAGATGATAGATAAATAGATAATCGCTATGTAGATAGATAGATGATAGATGGATAAATGATAGGTATATAGATACATGGATAAATGGATGATAGGTATACAGACAGATGGATAGATGATAGATAAATAGATAATCGCTATGTAGATAGATAGATGATAGATGGATAAATGATAGGTATATAGATACATGGATAAATGGATGATAGGTATACAGACAGATGGATAGATGATAGATAAATAGATAATAGCTATGTAGATAGATAGATGATAGATGATAAATGATAGGTATATAGATACATGGATAAATGATAGGTATATAGATAGATGAACAGATAAAAGGTAGGTAGGTAGGCAGATAATAGATGATAGGTGTATAGATAGATGGATAAATAGATAATAGGTAGATAGATGATAGACAATAAGTATATAGACAGATGGATAGATACGTAGATGATACATAATACATATGTGGATAGATAGATGATCGATGATTTGCAGATGAGAGAAGCTTGGGTGATACGTATATAAATAGATGGATAGATGATGGATGGATGATAGGTATATTGATAAATAGATAATAGGTAGATAGATGGCTATATAGATGATATATAAATAATAGATATATAGATTAATAGATGGATAATAGGTAAATAGATGATTGACAGACAATAGATGAATGACAGGCATACAGATGGATGGATGATGGATGGATGATAGGTATATAGATGGATGGATAGATGCTAGATGATGGATGGATGATGGGTAGATGATAGATAGATACATAGATAATAGGTATATAGATAGATGGATAGATAGATGACATAGACAGGTAGATAATTTATGTGGCTTTTGAAGCCCTCTAATCTGGATTGGATCCTCTGGAAAAAAAAGCATCCAGACCTCAAGAACTAAGGACAGGAACTCTAGAATTTCTGAACTGATGAGTTAAAATAGCTTAGGAATGTGCTCTCTGCTGGGGAATTGCCACACGAGGACACGTTTTAATCATTAATGCTGATGCAGGCCACACTGCTTTCCAAGAAACCCTGCCCTGTCACTTTTTCCAGCCATTCTTGCCTGAGGAGGCAGAGGAATTGAGCAAGCCTGGACGGCAAGCTGTGCTTGGGTTGGTGGCCAGAGTTTGAGCAGGGGTGTGTGCAGGACAGGGTGTGACGCTGGAAAGAGCAGTTCCTTGGGTCCTCCAAGCACCAGGGGAATGCCACACTGGCCACTTCCAGAAGGACCACAGTCCTCCAGGCCTGGAGGCCATGGGGAGGAACCCAGGGCCCAAATACGGCCCCTTTTCCCTTGTGCTTCTGAAATACAGACAAGGGTCACATTTTACTTTTCCTTTTTTTTTTTTTTAACAGACAGGGTCTTGCTTTGTCACCGAGGCTGGAGTGCAGAGGCACGATCATAGCTCCCTGCAGCCTCAAACTCCTGGGCCTCCCAAGTAGTTGGGGCTACAAGCATGTGCCAACATGCCCAGCCTTTTCTTTTTTTTTTGGTAGAGCCAGGGTTTTCACTGTGTGGCTCAGGATGATCTCAAACTCCTGGCCTCAAGCAATCCTACAACCTTGGTCTCCCAAAGCACTGTGACTACAGGCATGAGCCACCACGCCTAGCCAAGGCTCACTTCTTAGCCAATACTATATCTCAAGAGATTGTTTCAATTAAAAAAATTAACTTTCCGAGTCACGGCACCAGAAAAATTTCAAAAAAAGAAAAAATTAACTTTGTATGAGGCAGCTAAGTACCCTGTCCTGCCTGATCAGGGAATCTTAACGGGGAGCTTAACCTGGAGAGACATTTCAAAATTCATAGATGACAGACCTCCTTCTCTGAACCCCTGAAATCAGATCTGAGGCCCAGACTCAGGTTGGTCGAGGACAGTCCACGGAGGTTCTAATGCAAGGCTTAAGAGCCAGTACAGAAGAACGTGGTGAGGTGCCAGGACACAACCTTGATTTCTTTTTCTTTTCTTATTAAAAATGTCAGTTTCACTGGATTCACCAAAATACATTGTGAGCTACATTCCAGAAAATGTGCTAGGCCAGCACTGCTCACTTTAGTGAGCATACAAATCATATCTCGCTAAAATGCAGATGCTGGCCAGGCGCGGTGGCTCACACCTGTAATCCCAGGACTCTGGGAGGCCGAGGCTGGTGGATCACTTGAGTTCAGGGGTTCAAGACCAGCCTTCCAACATAGTGAAACCCCATCTTCACTAATAATACAAAAACTAGCCAGGCAAAGATGCATGCATGTGATCCCAGCTACCTGGCAGGCTGAGGCAGAAGAATCACTTGAACCTGGGAGGTGGAGGTTGCAGTGAGTCGAGGTCATGCAGCGTGACAGGGCAGTAGAGCAAGACTCCATCCAAAAAATAAAATAAAATATACTAAAATGCAGACTCGGGTTCAGCAGGGCTTGGCTGGGGCCTGACACTACGTTTTACCTTTCCAACAAGTTCTCAGATGATGATTGTGCTGTTGGACTATGGCCCATACTTTTTTTCTTTTTTTGAGACAGAGTCTAGCTCAGTGGTCCAGGCTGGAGTGCAATGTTGCGATCTTGGCTCACTGCAACCTCCACCTCCCCGGTTCAAGCAGTTCTCCTGCCTCAGCCTCCTGCGTAGCTGGGATTACAGGCGTACACCACCACGCCCTGCTAATTTTTGTATTTTTTTTTTTTTTTGAGACAGAGTTTCACTCTTGTTACCCAGGCTGGAGTGCAATGGCGCGATCTCGGCTCACCGCAACCTCCACCTCCTGGGTTCAGGCAATTCTCCTGCCTCAGCCTCCTGAGTAGCTGGGATTACAGGCACGCGCCACCATGCCCAGCTAGTTTTTTGTATTTTTTTTTTTTTAGTGGAGACGGGGTTGCATCATGTTGACCAGGAGGTCTCGATCTCTCATGATCCACCCACCTCGGCCTCCCAAAGTGCTGGGACTACAGGCTTGAGCCACCGCGCCCGGCCTAATTTTTGTATTTTTAATAGAGATGGGGTTTCACCATGTTGGTCAGGCTGGTCTTGAACTCCAGACCTCACGATCCACCCTCCTTGGCCTCCCAAAGTGGAGCCACCATGCCTGGCCTCAGACCAATTTTTACTCTGAGAAACCTCTCATTTCTTCTTCCTCCCCACCAGACTTTCAAGGGCTTCTTGAAGCACTCCTGGCTTAACTGGTGATCTCATATGTGTTCCCTAACAAATCTCTTGCACACTAATCTCTAACTCAGGTTTGGCTTCCCAGGAAACCCAAGCCATGCAAAGTAAATCCTAGTGCTGCTTTTGGAGAATGTTCTCAGGGAAAGCACTGACTCATCCTTCTATTCACAATACCCCCCACCAAGTTATACTTCTGCCCAGTGTGGACAATCAGCAAACAACCGCAGGGTCCCCCACGACACGGCCATAGCCAGGTACAGTTTGGTGAAAACATCTAAAAACGATCAGGAGGGCCGGGAACAGTGGCTCACGCCTATAATCCCAGCACTTTGGGAGGCCCAGGCAGGTGGGTCACGAGGTCAAGAGATCGAGACCATCCTGGTCAACATGGTGAAACCCCGTCTCTACTAAAAATGCAAAAATTAGCTGGGCATGGTGGCACGTGCCTGTAATCCCAGCTACTCAGGAGGCTGAGGCAGGAGAATTACCTGAACCCAGGAGGTGAAGGTTGCGTTGAGCTGAGATTGTGCCATTGCACTCCAGCCTGGGTAACCAGAGTGAAACCCTGTACCCCCGCCCCGGAAAAAAAAAAAAAAAAAGATCAGGATTGAGCTTCTCACCAGCCCAAATGCTTGAGTGCTCAGAATCTAAATTAAATTGATTTAAGGTCCATAAACATACTTGAGGCCGGGTGTGACGGCTCACACCTGTAATCCCAGCACTTTGGGAGGCAGCGGGCAGATCGCTTGCGGTCAGGAGTTCAAGACCAGCCTGGCCAACATGGTGAAACGCTGTCTCTACTAAAAATACAAAAGTTAGCCAGGCTTGGTGGGGGGGTGCCTGTAATCCCAGCCACTGGGGAGGCTGAGGCAGGAGAATCGATTGAACGTGGGTGGTGGAGGTTGTAGTGAGCCGAAATTGCACCACTGCACTCCAGCCTGGGCGACTGTCTCAAAAATTAAAACAAAGCAAAACAAAAATACAATTAGCTGGGTGTGGTGGCAGGCACCTCTAATCCCAGCTACTGAGGAAACTGAGGCAGGAGAACAGTTTGAACCTGGGAGGCTGGGGTTGCAGTGAGCTGACATTGTGCACTGGCCTCCAGCCTGGTCAACAGAGGGAGACTGTATCTCAGTAACAAACCTCCTTAAGGTAGATTCTTGCAGTGAAGGCCTCCCGTGTCCACGCCCTCCCGTACTCCACCTTGTGTGACACCCTCCCTGAGGGCTCTGGGCTTGCTCACCTTGTCTTGCTTTGGTCAACGGGATCTTAACAATTGTGAAGCCTGGAGACGCTTGAAAAGGGCTTGTACCTTGGAGCGCGTTCTCTTGCCATTCTTTGGAGCTGCAAAACTGCCATGAGAAGCAGACTGGGTCAGCCCTTTCTGGAGAGGAGAGACCCACCTGGAACAGGGATGAACCGTCCCAGCTGAGGCCCCCTTAGACCCCTCAGCCTGCCATCCACCAGATGTGAGTGAGATGGTCCCTGATTATTCAGAGCCAGCACAAAGCATTTAGACTCAAAAGGAAGGGAAATAACAAAGGTTTATTGTCCCAAGTCACTTGATTTGGAGTGGTTTATTTTATTTTCATGTCTATAAAACTCTGTGACCTATTTTCTGCACTTGGTTTTCTTTTTCTTTTTTTTGTTTGTTTTGAGATGGAGTCTTGCTGTCACCCAGGCTGGAGCACAGTACTGTGATCTCGGCTCACTGCAACCTCTGCTTCCCAGGTTCAAGTGATTCCCCTGCCTCAGCCTCCTGAGTAGCTGGGATTACAGACATGCGCCACCATGCCCGGGTAATTTTTCGTATTTTTAGTAGAGGCGGGGTTTCACCACATTGGCCAGGATGGTCTCTATCTCCTGACCTCATGATCTGCCCACCTTGGCCTCCCAAAGTGCTGGGATTACAGGCCTGAGCCACCGTGTCTGGCCACTTTCTAATTTTAATTTTAACTTTTTTAGAGACAAGATTCTTGTTATGTTATCCAAGCTGGTCTTGAACTCCTGGGCTCAAGAAATCCACCCACCTTGGCCACCAAAGTGCTGGGATTACAGGCGTGAGCCACCGTGCCCTGTCATTATGTTTATAACTATGTTGTGGATATTTGTAACGTTTGTGAGCTATTTTTTTTTTTAGATGGAGTCTCACTCTGTCACCCAGGCTAGAGAGCAGTGGTGCCATCTCGGCTCACTGCAATCTCTGCCTCCCAGGTTCAAACAATTCTCCCTGCCTCAGCCTCCCAAGTAGCTGGGATTATAGGCGTCCATCAACACACCCAGTTAATTTTTGTATTTTTAGTACAGATGGGGTTTCGCCATGTTGGCCAGGCTGGTCTCAATTTCTGACCTCAGGTGATGTGCCTCAGCCTCCCACAGTGCTGGGACTACAGGCGTGAGCCACTGTGCCTGGCCGTGTGAACTGACTATTTTAGAGAATTTTCTGCCTTATGAGTCCTGCCGCTACAATATCCCCCAAGGTAGAAGCCAGGAAGCATGATTCTCCAGCCTCCCTTGCAGCTAAGGAATGGTCATGTGACCTAGGCTCCACTAATCCAACATACTCATGTGAAACTTTAGAAATAAACATGAGCCAGGCATGGTGGCCCTGGGAGGCATAGGCGGGAGGATCGCTCAAGCCTCGGAGTTCAAGGTGGCAGTGAGCTATGATCATGCGACTGTACCCCAGCCTGGGCAGCACAGTAAAACCCTGTCTCTAAAATAAATAAATAAAGGCAGCCTGGCACAGTGGCTCACACCTGTAATCCCAACACTTTGGGAGGCTGAGCGGGGTGGATCACAAGGTCAGGAGTTCAAAACCAGCCCGGCCAAGATGGTGAAACCCTGTCTGTACTAAAAATACAAAAATTAGCTGGGCATGGTGGCAGGTGCCTGTAATCCCAGCTACTTGGGAGTCTGAGGCAGAGAATTGCTTGAACCTGGGAGGCGGCGGTTGCAGTGAACTGAGTTTGCTCCACTGTACTCCAGCCTGGGTGAAAGAGCTAGACTCTGTCTCAAAAAAAAAGAGGGGCTGGGCATGGTGGCTCACGCCTATAATCCTAGCACTTTGGGAGGCCAAGGCGGGTGGATCACCTGAGGTCGGGAGTTCAAGACCAGCCTGACCAACATGGAGAAACCTCATCTCTACTAAAAATACAAAATTAGCCGGGCATAGTGGCACATGCCTGTAATCCCAGCTACTCAGGAAGCTGAGGCAGGAGAATCGCTTGAACCTGAGAGGCAGGGGTTGCAGTGAGCCAAGATCCTGCCACTGCACTCCAGCCAGGGCAACAAGAGCGAAACTCCATTCAAAAAAAGAAAGGCACAGGGTGCTGCTCAAGATGGCTCATGCCTGTAATCTCAGCACTTTGGAAGGCCAAGGTGGGTGGATCAGAAGGTCAGGAGTTCGATACCAGCCTGACCAACATGGTAAAACCCACCTCTACTAAAAAATAGCTGGGCATGGTGGCACACACCTGTGATCCCAGCTACTCAGGAGGCTGAAGTGGGCGAATCACTTGAATCCGAGAGGCAGAGGTTGCAATGAGCCAAGACTGTACCACTGCACTCCATAAAAAAATAAGTAAACGTGAGAAAGCAGGCTGTGTGTGGAGTCTGTCCGTCTGCTGGGGAGGGTGCCTGGCAATAGCTGTGAGGTTGAGTTCCAGATACACTCGTGGCATTGCTGCCAGTAACAGCAGTGGATGCAGTGGTTTGCGTCCCTGGCATCAGTGCACGTGGGCTCAGTGCCCTACACTGGGGAGACTGCTTCCCTCTTCATTCCAGTTCTGCAACGTGGTTTGGGCACTGTTCCTAGGAGTCCAGCATCCAAGTGGTTCTGACAATTCCCAGAGCTGGGTCATAAATGCCTTTTTGGCTGGCCGCAGTGGTTCATGCCTGTAATCCCAGCAAGCACTTTGGGAAGCTGAGGTAGGAGAAGCTCTTGAAGCCAGGAGTTTGAGACCAGCCTGGGCAACACAGTGAGACCCTCTTTCCACAAAAAAACAGAAAAGAATAGGTGGGCGTGGTGGTGTGCGCCTGCAGTCACAGCTACTCTGGAGGCTGAAGCAGCAGGATGGCTTCAGCCCAGGAGTCCGAGGTTACCACGGGCTATGATGGCACCACTGCATGCTAGCCTAGGTAGCAGAGTGAGAACATGTCTCAAATAAATAAATAAATAGGCCAGGTGCAGTGGCTCACACCTGTAATCCCAGCACTTTGCGAGGCCAAGGTGAGCAGATCGCCTGAGCTAAGGAGTTTGAGAGCACCCTGGGCAACATGGTGAAGCCCTTACTAAAACACACAAAATTAGCCGGGTGGGTGGCAGGCATCTGTAATCCCAGCTACTTGGGAGGCTGAGGCACGAGAATCGCTTGACCCCGGGAGGCAGAGGTTGTAGTGAGCCGAGATCACACCACTGCACTCCAGCGTGGGCTACAGAGTGAGACTCCATCTTAAATAAAGAAAGAAAGAAATGTTTTTGAAAAGTGCCTTTTCTGTGCTAACTAGCTAGACTCTGTGCTGATGTTTGAAACTGAGAAACTTAACTGACACACAAGCAAAACTAAGTCAGGGAAGAAAGGTATAATCCAGAATCAACTGTAGGTGTTACCTAGACTGACTTTAGGCCAGGTGCGGTGGCTCACACCTGTAATTCCAGCACTTGGGAGGCCAAAACGGGCAGATCACTTGAACCCAGGAGTTTGTGACCAGACTGGGCAAAATGGTGAGACCCCATCTCTACAAAAAATATAAAAACTAGCTGGGTGTGGTGGCAAACGCCTCAGTCCCAGCTACTCAGAAGCCTGAGGAGGAAGGATTATTTGAGCCGAGGAAGCAGAGGTTGCAGTGAGCTGTGATTGCACCACCACTGCACTCCAGCCTGGGCAAGAGTAAGACCCTGTCTCAAAAAAGTGAAATAAAATGAAGTGTAGTCCACAGGGGTCAGCAGCACCGGGGGCTTGTGAGAAACGTGTCATGTCAGTCTCACTCCAGTACTGCTGAATCCACATTCACATTTCAACGGGGTCTCTAGGGAATGTGTAAACACAGATCAAGAGGCAGTGACTGCTGGGAGAGCAGGTTGTCCCCACACCTCCAAGCATTCCCCCACAGGCCACTTGTGGATTACAAATGGGAGGGGGGAATTCCCTGTATAGCAGGTAAGTCTGGCAGACACCACATAAATGACAAGCTTAGCACCAATAATGGGACAAAGTGACAACAGGAACTTGACACTATGAAACCACGAGAGGATCACATCATCATCCACGTAGAATTTCTGCCCAAGGCTGGGCATGGTGGCTCACACCTCTAATCCCAGCATTTCGGGAGGCTGAGGCAGGAGAGTCACTTGAACCTGGGGAGGTTGTCACTCTCCCACCTCGGCTGGCATGCAGTGACCCACTTTCTGTACTAAAAACACAAAATTAGGTGAGCGTGGTGGCACGTGCCTGTAATCCCAGCTACTCAGGAGGCTGAGGCAGGAGAATCACTTGAACCTGGGAGGCGGAATTTGCAGTGAGCCAAGATCACACCACTGCTCTCCAGCCTGGGCAACAGAATGAGACTCCAACTAAAAAAACACAAAAGAATTTCTGCCCAAAATGATGAACCTGAATCTAGTAACAGCAGGGTAAAAAATAGACACATCCAAACTGAGAGACAGTCTGTAAAACACATGCCTGGACTCGAAAAATGTCAGTTTCTTTTTTCTTGAGACGGAGTCTTGTGTGGTCGCAGCTCACTGCAGCCTCCACCTCCCGGGTTCAAGTAATTCTCCCGCCTCAGCCTCCCGAGTAGCTGGGACTATAGGCACCGCCACTGCGCCTAATTTTTTTTTTTTTTTTTTTGAGATAGAGTCTTGCTGTGTTGCCAGGGGCCAGGCTGCAGTGCAGTGGTGTGATCTCAGCTTGCTGCAACCTCCGCCTCCCAAGTTCAAACAATTCTTCTGCCTCAGCCTCCTAAGTAGCTGGGATTACAGGCTTGTGCCACCACAACCAGCTAATTTTTGTATTTTTAGTAGAGATGGGGTTTCACCATGTTGGCCAGGATGGTCTCAATCTCTTGATCTTGTGATCCGCCTGCCTCAGCCTCCCAAAGTGCTGGGATTACAGGTGTGAGCCACCACGCCTGGCCTAATTTTTATATTTTTAGTAGAGACGGGAGTTTCACCATCTTGGCCAGGCTGGTCTTGAACTCCTGGTCTCAAGTGGTTCTCTTGCCTCAGCCTCCCAAAGTGCTGGAATTACAGTCAAGAGCCACTACTCCTGGATGAAAATTATTTTTTAAAAAGACTGGACAAGTGCTCTAGATAAAAGGCAACTGACTCGACAGCGAGACCCTGTTGCTA